GGGGGAGAGAGAGAGAGAGAGAGAGAGAGAGAGAGAGAGAGAAATGTTGAGAGAGAAAGTTATTTTTTGTTGTTATGAATTCAATTTTTCTAGAGAGATATATCTAATGAAATGAAGAATAAAATGCATGAACATTTAGCAATGGCAGACAGGCATTATGTCAATAAATTAGTTTTTAATTTTGATTTTACAAGCAGTCTCTCTTGACATATATTGAGAGAAAGAAACAAACTAAGTACAATATTATCAGTGGATGACAGTCAACTATATAAGTTTAGTACCAGATAACCTGTGCATTGAGAAAACAAAAACTCTGAAAATGGAAAAATAATTTCAAAGTGCCACACACTTACTTGAGGTTCATAACGAATTACTATATCATACTCCATGCTCCTCTGGATGTTATCGACAGTGAATTCCAAATCTGAATTTTCAAAGGTCCGCATGAAGCCAGTCCCTGTCCAGGTGTTCTCTCTACCATCTCTAAATGGCTCACGGATTACCACTTGACAATTCTACAAAGAGAAAAAATTACTGCATTATAATCAAACCATGTTTTTCATAAGGAGTTGTTGATTAAGCATGCAAGTAAAAATTTCAAAAATTTCAATTTTAAATTACACACTTCAATCCATTTTCAGACATTCGTAAGAGTAATGCAGAGAACAAATTCGCACCAAAAGTAATAATAAACATCAATTTCTAATTTATTTATAATACTTCCTGGTATTGAAATTCAACATTTCAACAACAATCAACATTTCATTTCAAATTCTGTTCCAATTAATTTAATTGGTACAGAATTTGAATATATCAGATAAAGAAATGCTAACACAATAATTTTAAAAGTGATGTGTAATTATATAAATCATTGGACATATAACGTATGATTATTATTCTTCATACTTCACTAAACATTTTATATAGTTTTGCATGTAATAATCAGGATCATCATCATATACACCTTATTTGCATCACATATGAAATCATAACTGGACTTAGGAATTTGTGACACTTAAACTGCTACACATTCTTGAAGGATCTTTGAACGAAATAAAGTCACACAATAATTTGTTCCAGAAACACATTTTGTGAGCTTTCCCATATTAGTTACTTACAATAGATCCATCAAATTTCAGTATTTACAAATCATTTAGTTTAATTTTAGGAGGGACGAGAATATCTGCAAAATTGTCACTCTTTAAATTTTAAAAAATTGAAGATATCATATGATAACTACAAATTAAAATTAACATATTAATTTTTATTATTTGTTATATCAACATAAATGACCAAATTTTAAAATGTGAACACTAATATTGAGTCAACATCAAAACAGAAATAATTTCACAGCTATAAAATAAGAAAATCCATGCTTTTAAAGAAATAAGAGTTATTGTTTATCAACTACACCTGGCATTCAGTAATACAAAGTCCTAAAACTTCACAATAAGAAAAAATTCCCCTATGATAAGTGAATAAATTGGACAAAAATAATAAGAGAATGCATTTTTTTCCCCCCCACTATGTCTTCAGAAAACAGTGAATAAGTGTAATGCATTAAATTCAACATGCCATGATTTAATGAGATGTCAACACTCAACAAAGCATCAAAAATATTACACATTTCAGAGTTCAGAAGGATTAAATTAATATTTAATCATGAAATCTACAAAATCTGATACATCAAAGTGCCTAAGAATTATGAAAACTTTGAACATTGAAAAATATATTAAGACAATAATATTATAGAAAATATGATTATTTAATATGTAGTCTCTCATTTGAGCAAAAACAGAAAACATGCAGAAAGAAATGTACTCTTCTACCCATTTTCCATCATGAACAAGTGATATGAATATTATTTTCATATTGATTGTTTTCACTGAAAACTATACCCTCTTTAAACAGAGCAAGTTAGTGTGCAGTGCAAATTATCACACAATCCCTAATTTTTGTGAGAAAATTTAATATCACATGGGATTTCTAGAGATAACACAAAAGACAATAGACTGTTTAAAGAAAAATGAGTTTAAAAATTTTGATTTTGTGATTTAATTGTTTGGCACCAACAAAAGGAGTTGTATTTATATTTTTACTTGAACTTTCTTTAATTCATATAGCGATATATGCCAAAAATGTACATTAAAAAGAAATTTGTTTTCATTATTATATATATTATCATTACCTGCTGCCACCACAGAATTTAATATTCCCATCTTACACTACTTTAAGAATGAAAAACAATGAAGAGAAACAACGTATCAAACTATTGTAACTCCATTTCAAGGCAGCCAAGAAGAAAAAAATTGTAAAAGTTCTTGTAAATCAGTGTTTCTTAATTGTCTATAAGAATATAATTCATTATCTTAGCAACATCATCTAGAAAACAGATTGATCATCTTTTTATTAGATTACAATTTTAATTTTAACAAGGGTTATAAACATACTCATAGAGGCTTACTTCCCCCCGCCAAGTTCCTACTAGATATTGTAATATGCAACTTCCAGATACAAACTGTATGCATCTAGATTATTATGATAAGGAGAGAGCCTTTTTATTTGTTAATTAATATTCTCTCTTACACTATCTTTATCTAGTTTTGAATATCTTAATATGTCTAAACTTCCAGATTGAGTTTTCAAATACATCTGTAAGAAAGTATGATTGCTGCAACAAAAGTAGTACCAGAATAAGGAACCTCACACTAATGCTTGTGTCTGCACTCATGAAAATGTCTAAAATTCATGTCATATAAGAGACAAACTAATACAGAAATTCTTCACAACATGATATTTGGGTCAACTAGAAATGATCAAAATTGATGGGAGGAATCAAAGTACAACTAAACCAGATATACATGTGCTAGTCCAAGAGAACTCTCTTCTAGAAGATATTGAAATGTCTGCACTACTTTCATCATCGTACTGTTATGAGCAATGTTATGAACAACATAAGAATACAGGGAATCTGGGGAGACTACTATACTACCTTTTTTCTTCAATGGAAAACAACCTTTTACGTTACTTATTCATTTTGAGGTATTAGGAGTATTATATGCAAATTTTATAGTGCCTATAAGCTCTTATTTCATTAATAAGGGCCTTTTTGTGCTTAAATGCCTAAAAGTTACCTATTCTCTTTTATTGATCAAAATGCACTTATCCTTTACCAAAAATTTAAAAAATAGTAATTTTTGTTTGTTTTTATCCGGCAGAGTACAGAGTAATCAAACAATTATCAATAAATGCATGTTCCGTTTTACTGCCACCACAGTGTGGGTATTTCATATTATGAAAAGCATGCAAAATCACTGGTGGTATTAGTTATTTTTTAATTCGAATTTATAAACAATTTTTTTCTCCTGTGCAAAACTTCAAATTGCACAGGTTTCATTTTCATAGAACTCTCTGAATTTTTTGATAACTGCAAATTTTGAAATTTGTTTTTAGATATAATGTGAGAAAGTATGTTCTGTTGTAACACTGCTAGTTTAAACATTTGATAGCTGCTACGATTCACCCTTTTTGTCCAAATTGCCCAACAATGATAGAAAGAATTTCTACCACATAAGTACATAAATAGGGATAAGAAAAATTTTCAGTACCCTTTTAAATACCTATTTTGCCTACCTATTTCTAGTTTTACGTGCCTATAAATCCACAGCTTTCTAATAACAGATCTACATGTCCCTCAATACCTTGCTTCCTTCTGCAGCATATGGTTTGTCATCATTTATGCTCTACTATTGTGCCATCTTGGCATCCAGGAAGAAGTTTTCAGTTAACCAACAGCAATGCAGTATACATAGATCACTCATTTTCTTATATATTAGTAGTAAATGCAAGAAAATTGTGACATTAGTTTGACTCACAAGAGTAATTAAACAAATGAAATAAATTTGCTTTTAACAAAATGATGAAAGCAAATGTGAAGTTATAAGAATATATTATAATATTTCTCACTGACAGGAGTTACCACCTTATGGAAGAAAACCTGTGGCAAAATGTCTATTAGAAAGGGAGTTCTACTGTGTGTAGATGTACTTGGACATTGTAAAATCTGCATGGTCAGAAAACCAATGACTGAAAATAAGTTGTGGGTGAGCAAACATTATTGGTAATACTGTAAAATCTGTCTAAACCGGCACCTATACTATCTGGAAATTTGCCTTAACTGGAAAATTTCTCTGGCCTTTGAAGTTGTATGGTATTTTACATAGCATAAAACGGAATTTTTCTGACATAGAAACGGAATGGTTTTTCACGTAGTATAGAGGGAAAAATCATTATAAATTGGAATTCCTGCAAATTTAATGCAATTGGCACGTAAGATATTCTGACATGCCAATTGCATTAATTGCAAATTGAGACGTAAGATATTCTTAATGTAATGATTGCATCGGCAAGTCTGTTTTAAATTCTCTATCCCACGTGATTTAGTCATGGCAACCACACTGTGAAGGGAAGGGGCTTCAGCTGATAGCCTAATATTTGAACTTAGGGTCACTTGTCTCTCAAGGCGTAGGTCATAAAGGAATTCTCTCCCTCCAACCCCACCGAGCGTGGGAAGGTGCACCGTCACGGCTTCTCTTCGTGCATCTCCTGCCTCCTCGCTGCCTTACCATGAGAAAATCATGTCATTTTTACCATACTTTAATTACATCTTTACTTACATTAATTTACTAGTTTCAGAATGGAAATATCATTTTCACAAGTGTTGTTGAATGGACAACACTACATAAAACAGAAACCTCCCTAAGCGAAACATTTTTTTGTGTTGATCAATTCTGGTTTAGACAAATTTTACTGTACTTCCATAAAAAAATATGTCAGGCAAAGCGGTTAATGTCTGAGTTCTAGTGATGTAAAATATCATTCCAACTACCACCACTTTCACCATCCCCATTACAAATTTCACCAATTATTCCACACACCACCACCATGTCATCCATAACTTACATTCCCATAGCAATTACTACCATTATTACAACACTAACAACCAAAAACTTATTTCTTACACTTGATTGACTTCCTAGATTAGTTTGATCACCCTCACGGCATACCTGTAACAAATTTCAGAAGTGCAACAAACACAATCACAACTGTTCCACGAATACTAACATAGTTTGAGCAGCAAAGAGTACGTGAAAATTTAACATTTAACTTGAAGTGTTTTGTAAAAACATAAGAACACAATCTAGAAAGCTTTGGTGTGGTAAGGTAAGTGAATCAGCCTATGATATGGACCTCCCTAAAACTACAGTTTATAGTGTATTAGTACAAAAAATTATGTGCATTTTTTTAAAGTAAATTGTTAGATGTCATGTAAAACTACAAATTAATGTTTTAAAATTTTGATTAAGAAGATTGGGATACTTATATGTGTATTTTCTGTGTTATCTTCAAATATAGTCATTTAATATACACTTTTTCTTTCTCGCTTTACTATGTTCACGTTGTAAGAGAAAGTATTGTAATATTGCAGCGGAAATTGGCAATTTTTTGACAGAAAAAGTCTTATTGTTGGGTCCTGATAACAAAAAAATGAATAAATAATTGTTCCTACATGCAGAAAATTACTTCTTCCAACACATGTAGTCAGAATCCTCGTTTTGTGGGTCCTTTTCTTTATATATATATCAAAAAATCGGTTGATGGTAAAACATCTGTCTATGGTCAACTCTAGCATCTGAAGTGTTCCGACGATTTTTTCTCAAATTGATATTCCTCAATTGATCGGAATGAAATCGAGACCCTGTGAATTAGAAATGGATAGTTAGGTTTTTTACTTAAAGCCTTGACATTTTCAAAACTTTCTAAAAAATGGCTCCAAATGTTTTATTAAATTTTGTCCTCGTGTACAGTAAAGAATACTAAAAAAAATGAGGTCTCATTTTCATTAAAATATCTGACTTTTCTATAGAGATTGAAGATAAGAGATGTTTTTTCTTAATGAAATATTTTATTCACAAACAGATCTTGAGATTTGGTCTGGAACAATTTTTAGAAAACATGAGTAGTATTCCCATAGTTTTGCGTGAAGAATTGGCAATTTTTAAACAATTTTTTTCTCAAAAATGGCTCAAATCTTTTTCTTTAATTTTTTCCATAGACAAGGCAAGGAACATTATCCAATATTCACATATCTAACTGATATTTTAAAATATGAATTTGTAGCTTTACTTCATGTGCCACCAAATAAATTACTAAAAATGTGCACAAAATTATAATTTGTATAAATACACCAAAAACTGTTTATACAGTGTATCATGATGTAAATCAGATCACCAATCATACTTGACCAAAGCCTTTGACAGGTTCTCATGTATTAAAAACATTGATAAAAGTTCAATCATTCAAAAGACATCCCAATAAGTAAATAATGGATTAGTTAATAAGAGTTCAATTCAGTAATATTAAATCCAAATTCGCCAGGAGTGACATTTCTCAGCTGCAGCATATTCTATTTGAACGTTGTTGGGTACACCTGAGCTTGCTCTCAAATCCTGGACTTGTCAAGAGATTCAGATGGTTAGACCACATGGGTTCTGTAATGATTATGTCATTCGTCTGGGGATATATTTGAACTTTTCAATTAGCAATACTTCCACGGAAGGCAGATACATGAACAAAACATTAGCACATGAATGAGGGATTCGATGCAATTCAACCCAATGGAGTTCAGTACAATACCAACGAAAGTGAGCAGAGCATTCACTTAACAACATATGAGGTACAATAATTCTCAATAATTCTCTATATAAAACACGACAAAGTGTGAACACCATGATTCACCACATCCAGAGGTGGACCTGGAGAGGATTTCAGGACACCCCCATTTATGTTTTTGAAATCACAATTTTTTAAATTGTTAGCTTGAAATTAACAAACATATGAGTATATTTGTAATGGAAATACTGCTTTGGATGTGATGAGATCTATAAATGATAATTTTTTTAAAATAAATTGTGTAAACTACAATAAGTATTTAGCTGGCATTGCTTCCATGGCCCCCCTTGGATTCGCCACTGATTCAACATTATTTCAACAGTTATTGTTATGAAAATTCAAAATCAAAAACTATCCTAGAGCAACTCAGTTAAAAAAGGGTTGTTGTTATCAGTAGGAGACAAAATTGGAATTTTGCCTTTCAAATAAATTGTCAGAGGCTTAGGGTCAATATAAGCAAAAAAAATTTAGAGGCTGAAAGTACATGCAAAGAAAAACAAACACAAAATTTTACATGACTTAATGCACATGAAGTATTTCCTTCCAGAACAGAAGAAAAAGTGCTCTGACAGTGCAAGAGGCATTGAAGGGTGTTTAGACTCCTCTTAGACATGAAGACTGGAAATGAAGGTATTGAAATTTCGAATTCCTGATGATTGTATATTGGATATTATATTGTACAATAAAATAATAAAACCATTCTTAATTGTAATACTATACTATATTTTTGAATAATCGGATAAAGTGACCCTCCATTAGAGTGAATACAAAATGTTAGTCCCGAGAGATTCAATATAACCAGTTACTGTGTGTAAAATTGGCAAGAAGGACTGGATGTCCAACATTTATAGCTTTGTAAATGACAGCAATGGTAACTGGTGAAGTAATGTAGCATCAATAATCGGTACTCATTACCATTACAGGTTTTCTTCTACCATCTCTCCCTAAATATTGATCTCCTCTTCTAATTCGTTACGTTCATGAAACTTGTCAACTAAAATAATTGCAAAATATATTTTTATGGGAGTTGTTTGGCTTACCATATCTCCCTTCCTCAAAATTTAAATACATGTAACTCACTCAATACTCTAAAAAAATACAGTTTAGTAATATGCTTAACATGACCAGGCTCCAGGAGTGGCTCATCAGAACATTACACTTTAGGCACATTAGATTAGTTAACGTCTTGTGTATATGCTTTACTTCATGTGTACTTTCATTTGAAGAAATTTAGAGTAGGTTTTGGCATAACATCTCTAACCATTCTCTAGTGAGGCTCAAAAATAGTACATACGAATATTTCATCTAGTTGGTCAGGTTAAACCACAAAAGGTGATATACTATATGCCTAAATAAATCCTTTCCTGGCATTAATAACGGTAAAATGTAACTAGGCCCACAGGCTTTCTTTCATATGAAGTCATTTGCATAATAAATTATGAATTACAAATATTTTTTCCAGTCATTAGTCAATTCTTTATTGACAATTAAATTGAAGCAAACTAACAATTTTTTCTGCTTCTTGGGAGTAATTCTTCAATATGCAATTTTTTCAATAGTACAATAAATGCTATTACACACCAAACCAGGTACATTTATAGACAAATGACTTAATTCTACTTTGCATCATAGGTATACAAGTAAAACCCACCAAGTCCAAAAACCTAGTTTCAAGATAAATCACGTTGAAGTTAATTCTGTTATATTAGTCTACTCAATATCTTTTGCCAGATGGACATAAAACCATGTTTCTTTTACATTCACATTCATATGTAATACTACTTTTAATAAACAAAAAAATCTAAGGTGGATTTTACCTGTACATTTTCCTTGTTCTGTGATTTAATTAGAAATCAAAGTAATTGTTAAATTAGGACACAAGCAATTTCACTAATCAAAATAAAATTTTGAAATGTCATTTAGTGATGTGATTAACTCAAAAACATCAAAAATGGACTTGGTGTGTTTCACTCATATACTGATGGTATGATCTTCTGGCAGCTTGAAAAGAGAAAAGAGTAAGAACTAAGAAACCAATCAACACTACTCACGTCTGAGCCCCGAGCCAGTTCTGCCTCATACACCAAGTAATCAAGTGAGCCAGTGAAGTAGCTCTGTTCTGGCTGGTCACACGCACGGCCCGTCACATGCGGTCGGCATCTGCAACATGAGTTGCCTCAGGCCCCCAGCAGCACCACCACACCCAACAACCCAGCATCATGCACACCATCAGCATCCCAGGGAACAAGAGCATTGAAAGAGCCCAAGAATCCACAGTTAAACCATCTCACTTTTCACTTCATAGTAATACAATATTTCCACACAATAGTCCATTCAATAGTAGTAGCTAAATGTAGTATTTAAAAAAATATTAAGAGTCCAGATAGTTCAACAAAATGGCAAGTAAATTGAATGAAATATGCCTTAAAAGAGCATTATAAATCCCTACACATAATTTGTGATATTCAGAGAAACACTATTAGGAATTAATGAAAATAATATTACATTTTATTAGTTGCAAACCAATAAGCTATGGTTTTGAGATGTGTATGTGATGAGCTGCAAATATACTATCAAGAACATTTAGGACAAGCCACCACCATGTGGAAACGCTCCACATAACTTCAACTACACCTTCAGGCGAAATATGCACAGTAAGCGTAAGTGGCATTATGAAATTGGACTCCCCAAAGCATTGGGAAGAAAAAGTGCAAGGCTACTGAAATGCCACCCCTGTGTTCCATCATCATCAACATGACCGACAAGAACAGCAGCAATCCCACAGCCCAAACAATCTGGATCAACGTGGTAATACATTGATGTCATCATAGCGAATGCATCTTGACTTCACCATATTCATTGCCCTTTCACTTTCTCTCATTAGGTAGTACAAATGGAAAAGATTTTCAACTTATTGTTTTTTCTAAGTAGTTTTTGATCTTCCTCTTCCACACAACATCCCTGTCACTCAGATCCCTTAACACAATGTCCCCTGATGTGAATTATGCCACACCAAACTCATTCTCATAAAAAGGACCGAAAAGTCTTGGTCTCAGCTCACCCACACATTTTGTTTTATTCTATTGACTGTTACAAAATTATCAGTCAATTGTCAACACTATTCAATAACCATTTATTGACTTTAACCCTTCCATGTGGTGGCTTGGGAAAATACAATAGATGTCTATTTAACATTGTCTTCCCCAGGTGTTTCAGTACTTAACTACCTGTTAACTTTTACATGTATACAAAATTAATACATAGAACCCTTTGATAAATTAGTACCTATACAATATGTGAAGGAGAGAGAGTTTATTTTATATACAGATTGTCCCACAACTTTAAATCTTGCAGTATGTGTAAGAACAAATTATAGAGCACTTATAGATGAATTATTGTTATTTGCAAAATAATAAAGTGATTCTTCCTTTCTTATTCTGAATAAAAAGGGCTGGAAAATTGAAGTAAAGATCAATCTGAAACAAAACGCTCAAAAGAAAGAAAACCAAAAATGGAAATCCTCATATGGAATTCTCAATCCTCAAACGTAATATATTGTATTCAGTTGGGAAGTCCAATCATGATCAAAATAAAAATATATAAAACCATAACATCTGGATTGTAATTAATATATCGTATGTTGCAATACACACTAAAATTCATTCATATGATGAATAATAAAATTATGTTGAAAGAGAAAATATAAAAGAATAACCATATATATTATAAAATTATAGAAAACAGTTTTACAGTGAACTTTAATGCTATTGAGATCACTCACCACAAAAATGTTGCATATCAACTGTTCTTTATTACTATCTTCAATAAAGAGAAAAAGAGTGTTATGAAGATTGAATGGCACTTCCAGAAAAGCAGCAAAAATTCATATTATTGAGGTTTTTGCTTCACGATACTCACCTCATCAAAGAGTAAATTAATACAAGTGTATACAGGCAAGGTAAAGGGCAATCAAAAAATTGAGAAAAGGTAGAATTCAAGTAAACACATTCAAGTTCTAAAAGTTTCGCTGAATCAATAACATCTATCAAAACAATGAATTCAACAAACTGATTTTGCACAAAGTTATTTGTGATACTGAACTAATTACATAAATAAAATGGTTTGTTCATTAGTCTGTCCTCCTCCTCCTCCGTCCCTCCATCCGTCCATGTGCCAGCCTGTCTGTCTGTGAAACAGTCCATCTGTCGCAAGTATTTTAATATATATTTTTTCATGTCATTTTTATGACTAAAATAAACTCTCTGATCAACTGTAATATATTTAAAATTTATTTTTATTATGAACTTCGGAAGCACTGATTTAACTTTTCATCATGAAAATACTCATGAGAGGTGCTCAAAAAAGCAAATATACTATAATTATGTATTGAAAATTTATATTTATAAATTTCACATTTTATCCAGTTGTATCTAATCTCATATAATGCTCATCTATGATCACCAACCTGCACTGGCCAGTTATTACATCACAGCGGTTGTCAAAGGAACCACCAGGATCACAATCACAAGGCTTACATCCTTCAGGATCATCTGACAAACCCCAATATTCAAGTAGACACTGATTACAATCACGACCATGAACATATCTTTTACATGTACATTCTCCAGTGTACACATTGCACCCTTGGTTATTCACTGTACCAAGTGTGTTGCAAGTACAAGCTGTAAAACAACAAGAATATCTATAAACAATCAAATTCTTTTCTTGCATTTCCAAATATTAAAACAGACATTAAAGTAATAAGAGCATAAGGAAATTGAATAAAACCGAATTGTTAAAATATTTTTAAAAGAGCTCCATTGCTAAAGTCTGTTTTATATACGGTTCATGGAACATACTGATTGCATTATCACTATCCAAAACATTGAACAATGAAGCAATATTAATTTTCACACGAAACATTCATATTCATATGAATAAATACAACGTTCAACATGACATGTGAGAAATGGTCATTATTTTTCAAATATACTTCTGTGAGATCTTCAGTATTCTGCCAGATTTACTAATAAAATTCCTGACATGTCACTAACAAAGAAAATAATTGTTTAACAATTTTTCTTACATTGGCATCCATCAGGATTGGACTCTTGGAAATTCCAGAATCCATTTTTACACCGGTCACAGCGTCGCCCATCCACATTGGTTTTACAGTGGCATCGTCCTGATTCAAGTCCATTGGCAGGATCAGTTCGTGAATCACAAATGCCATCATCAAGCGACCCTCGTGGGTCACAATCACACACTGTGAAGAAACGAAGCTCATTTGACTGATACTGTTAAAGAGTCAGCACTGCAGATACTTCAAGGCCATTAAAATTTGGCCCATATTTGATAAAACAGAAATAAACTGTACACACAATGACAATGTAAAGTCTTATAACGCTGGAATGATCACTGCTTTCTCTAATCCAGTTAGTGATGTGGCTTTATTATCATCATCAATTGCTTGAATAATGGGATGTGGTAGATGAAATTATTTATATGTCAATAAAAATTTGAACAAGAATTATATGTCAACTAGAATTTGGATGGGGAGATAAAATATTTAATTGCTTTGGTGGCTATAACTAACAGAGCTCAAATTCCTTTTTCATCTTGACTTCCTGCAGCTATGGCTAAGTAACAGATTATATTACTGTATGTATTCATATTAAATACAGTATAATTTATACATACTATGGTTTTATTTACCATATTTCTTCACATATATTAGTTTCAGTACAAATTTAATGAAAATGATCACTAAATTTATCACAAAGAAATAATTGTCTTCAATATCTCTTTCAAGTTAAGTAGTAGGCATTTCACTGCAACTGATATAGAACCTTAATTTTTTTAAGAGATGCACTCATCAAATGATAAATGTATGTAGATTTATAAAAGTACGCATTAAACTTAAGATATAGAGATAAAACATTTCAATAACTTACATTGACAAATCTCTGGGTCAGTAATATCTCTACCAGGATCCTGATAATAGAAATTGCGACACTGCTCACAATTGCGACCCATGGTATTATGTTGACAGTCATCACAAACACCCCCACTAACACGTCCAGTAAGTTCATACACAGCTTCATCGAAGTGACAGCTTGAGGCATGTCCATTACAATTACATCCTGTAGAAAACAAAGAGATTGACAATAAAAAAATAAACCTTTCAAATATTAGTTCTTCATAAGTTTATTTCTTATGAACTATAATTGGGGGAAATATACATTTATTTTACATAGTAATCAAACAACAATAATGTAATGAAAATGCAAAGCAGATATCACTTCATAAATTAGGATTCAAAAAGAAAACAAACACACAACTAGCATGATATATAATTTACTAATTCTAATGTTCGTAAGTAATGATACAATTATAAAGCCAGTAAGATATTCTGAATTCACCTCCTTTATTTTTTATTGGTTACAGGATAAGAAGTATGAATGACAAGCTCATTGCCAATCATTCATTAGATGCTAATTGACTTTCACTTTTAATAAAAGCTACTGTTTGGGAGAAACACTTCAGGAAGTTTTAAAACAACAGAAAACATTAAGTTTCTGAAAAGGTGTCTTTGCACATTCAGCATTCGACAAGTACCAAGTGACAGGTAGCTGAACCCCGAGTAATGTGGATGGGTTGCTTGCTAATTGCCGAGCACCAAACATTTGGTGCTCAACCTACCCGCTCCACGTGTGTCTTTTGGACACATCCTAGGAAGCGAACATTCTCTGAGAAGCTTGGCTACTCAGGCTGAGTGAGCTGTTGCTCACTACTTACCAAATGTTGAATGTGTGACATCACCTTAAAAGCTATGAAATATTTTGGTCAAAATAATTAAAAAGGTGAGAGAATTTCATACATTCAACTGATAATACTGAATTTTCCCTGTAATAGGATTTTCTTTTGGAGTACCACTACTCACGTTTGCATGCATTGGTCTGTTTTCCAAAAGCAGGTTTCCATGGTAGATCATTGTAGAAATCTTCACACTCCTCACAGTTGAGACCTTTGGTATTGTGAGTGCACTCACATCGCCCGTGTACCATATCAACGCGACTGACATCATCTGACAGAGGAAGACACCGAGAAGCATGGCCATAACATGAACATGAGCCTCGGACTACCATCTGATAGATGGCATAATAATACTTCTCCTGAAACATTCACATCCCAAATAATACATCAAAGTGCATTAATAATTTTAATTCAAATAAAAAAGTTTTTAAAATGCTTCAATTAACTCATTACACTACAGTTTGGAAATTACCATTAATTTTTCTGAACATGACAATCAATAAATGTTTAGCAACATTAAAACAAATTCCCTGAAATTTATTACAAAAATAAAAGCACAAGTACCTAACAGTGGTCTCAGAAAAAATGTAATATTTGTAAAATATCTCATAGTGATTTATAAAAGGAAATACAACACTTGTATTGCATGTATTTTAAGATACATCAAAAGGTCAACAGCAAATTATTTCTTGATACACCTCTATATTATCAAACAATTCCACAAAATCCGCGCAATGTGCACATGGAATACACAATATACTTTCCCATCAAACTCAGAAACAATGCATTTCAGAGTTGTATGACCCCAAGAAGAACCCTGTCATACTGTTATATAATTACACTGTTAATTAGCAGAGCCACTCTCTCTATCTGTCTCTGTCTCTCTCTCAATGATTTAATTTATTTACATGAAATATTGTTTTATTGCTTTGATTCATATACAATGGATATATTGTAATCTTGTATTATATATTGTAATATTGACTTATTGAAATATAACCACTCAATAATTGATTGTGCAATAATAAGTGCCATTGTGCTGATTGCATTGATGCTAGATGGCATACCTGTTGCACACCTTTGGGTGCTATGGGCAAGAAGAGAGAGTTCCTAGTTAGGTGCTTTCAGATGCTTAGTACTGGAAAGAGTAAAAACCAAAATCTTGTGCGACTGAATAGGGGATGAGCTATATTCATTATGTCATAATCTACAATTATTTTTTACTTTATTTAGCTAGCGTTTTTACAATTAACATTTCCACATTTTAGAAATCACATCCAGGCTGGAACTAGGCTATAATTTATCAGGGCAATTTTTTATTGATACCTACCTTTCTTCCATTGTGTCCAATTTGAATGCAAACAAAGAAAAAATATCAGTAAGATTTAAGGAACTATCAATATGATTTATCTGACCAAAATCATTTTATTGATCCTAGATGGTTTCGAAAATGAACTAATTAGATTCCTTCAAATTTGCTCAGCATTTATTTTAATTTATCTTCTCTATCAAAATTCAAAAATTATTAATTATAACATTGAATTTTTTTCAATTAAATGTAAAGTAATTTATTTCAATTAAAAATCTCTCTTATTTCAATTAAAAATCTCTCTCTCAATTAAAGAAACAAAAATGATACAATTCATTCTATTTCGTGAAACTATTTTTAGAGATTAATTTGGGGGGGGGGGGAGAAAAGAAAATCAAGATTTATTTCAAAAACAAACAAAATAATCTGCATGAATTTATCTCAAATTTTACTCTTGATTTTACTTTTCTCCTTAGATACCTCCTAAAACATAAATGTTGAATCAAAATCTGTAATACACATTTCCAATTAGTACAGAAATTAAAAGAAAACTCTGCATCCTCTTTCTTGCTGTGTGAATGGCATGAATAGATACACAGGGATGAGGGGAAGAATACACAAACAGTGAAACAGTTTCAAGTTTGACTGAAAAATGCAAATATGGGAGGGTGGTATTCCACTTGTTCTCATATTACGCATACCGATTGAACGTTGTTACTGCTTACGATACAGATAACTAGTCAGGAAGGAAGAGGCCACCTGCCATTAAATATTTTTTTATATTCTTTGTATGTAAAGAATTGTTGTTTTATATATAAGTAGTGGAAGAGGTGATCAAATGCCGTGTATTCCATCTCGTAATAACTGAGAAAAGCTATACGAGACTGCGGCCTACGAAAATATTTTGCTAACATCACGCTCTAGAAAGATGAGACGCGATACTCGTAATCATTGCTGCAATCAGGTATAGTGATACAAACGTTCCGTCTTATGTGCGCTATCGTTGGGAGTCTGTCTTCCCAGACATCAGCAATTAAATCGTGTTACCATGTTTTGTCACACTTCGCTCAACTCAACATGAGCCTGTTCACGCGACCTACATTTAACTTTACGTCCCGACGCGAATCTTGGTGGTACCGCGTTTCAAATTCATCGAATTTCTCGGAACAAATGTTGTCCTCACTACCATTCCTTCACTACTCACGAGGAAGAGCAGTGGCGCAGAGTCAATAGATGAGAGTGATGTGTCGCAGTCCTTCGTTATTCGGCTGGTTTTATGGCTTCTAAGCTTCTAACTTTATCTTTACAATGTAAGTTTATGATTTTCTCTCTTCAAAACTATATTGTCTTTTCTTTGGACGCTTCAGACTACTTTATGGGATACAGTGCCTGGTTTTGTAACACTGTGGTTTCGCGCAAGAGAGTCACATACGTTCCCTATGCTCGATTCTGCTGCAAGGCCAATGACCTTTGAGAAGGTTGACTATTGGATATGGGCTTACAAAGCATGTAACTGATACGATTCCACAAACACAACTGGTATACAAGTCTCAGCTGCAATAATTTCATTCATTCATTGGCCTCTAGACGCGGTAGCATACGGATCGGCAGTTCAAATTTTCTTCACTGGGGGAATGGCTTATGTATGAATTAAACATCTTAATTTATAATTGCTTTTTCTTCTAGCTTCTGGACAATGTTGTCAAGTTGAAATTTTCGAGAATTTGGATCAATTGGGGCTTTTATGATACAAAGAATTAAACTTTTCACCTTGGCTTCTGTGCCGTTTTGGTGCTAAAGACTTGTATGAAATAAAAAAAAAATAACTGAAGACCTACCACAACTCTTTAAAAAATCAAAAGTGTGTATCAAATTATCCCCACTTGATGGGTCCACAATACATTAATAGGGCTAAAGTGATACAGCTTAATATTTATATGAATTTTGACTGTGAAACAATGAGCGGGCTACAGTGAGACACCTTAGGGTTAAGTGTCTCAATAGTATTTTTTAAAATATATTTTGCTGTGCCTAAATATTGTAACATTTTGAGTTCCTGCTATGTGGCCATTGATATATTTCCTACTACTTGCTATTTTTTGTTAATTTGGATATCAATAAGTAACTATATAACTAACATTATCCCCAATTTTTTGCCGAATTATATTAAGCTTGACTGACCCCTATATAGAAGGTAGTTTCGACTGAGAGCGTTATGGAATGTAATAAATTTTGTAAAACGGTATTTTAAAACAATATTTCATTATTAAATTCTAGTATTGTAAGTACGTAACAGTGTTGTACATACCCGAGATCTGTGCGTATGAGACTGATATTGTGCCTGTGTGTGTGTATGTATTTTTGTGCTGTTGCAATAATGATCATGCGTAGAAATTTGTTGGATCGTGACGAAACTCACAAGAAAATAGTCCGAAACTATACAATAGCGTCTGAGCATTAAAGAAGGCAACAGTATTTTACTGACAAACTATTTGCTCCTTTCTATCGCATCACCTACTCGATCTTTCAGGAGACGCCAATGGCCGCCAAGCGCGTTACCGCATGGCTAACGCGCTTTCTCAACGTTACGTTAGTAGCCCGCCCTCCATGATCCTTTTTCAATCCTTGGCCTGTAAGATTGATTGATTACCACAGCCGATATTTTGGAGATCATGAACATTTGCTCATTGGATGGCCGATCATTGACTCAGAGAAATTCGCAGCTATTCCTCCCTCCTGTCTCAGTGCGCCTCATTGCGGGACAGAGTTGGTGGATGGAGGAGCTGCGTAGCGGTTGCGTTGGTGCTAGGAACGTATATGCCGTCTGAATTTAATGAGCCTAAACGAACTCATTTCAAGTTTTTGGAATAGGTATAGTTACGGTTACAATTGTATACTATTATGTAACACCCGACAGACGCATTTCCAACGCAAGAATCCAACAAAACGGGGCCCAGAAACGGAAACTATCGACAGATCGTGAACTACATCTGAAAAAGACATTAAAGAAGGAGCCGATAACAACCACTTTTCTTGCACTAAATCCACAAGGAAACACTTCCTCTGAAAACCCAGAGACGTCAAGAATTAACGACGAGTCTGATGATACTGAATCCTGCGATCCAAAGCCAGCCCAAAGCAATAAATCCAGCTCAAGCATTACATGTTGGCAGCAAAAAACATGAGCGAGAACATCACACCAGTGTTTCAGGTATTTTTTTTCGGAAACTGAGACGGAGAGAAATTTTTAGTTCATACAATTAATCATGTAGTAGATTCAACTAAACGGAATATTACAGTTTGGAAGAAGAAAGTGCTTAGTCACGTTCACGAAACTTGCTGTTTAGTAGTTAAACACACTAATGCACGTACATTCACTAAAAGATCATACCAGTGACGAATGGCATCTTGTGGAGATAACTAAACGAATCGTTGCGTTGAATAATACATTGACTAATATTTACAAGACATATTGCAGTGAAAAAAACAACACGAACCGTGAAAGGGAGTACTTTCTTTCTACTCCTTCAGACAGGAAGCAACTGGAGTCCCGAGCGGTCATCCATCCTACGGTCCCTTGGACTCTCCCTACTTCCTCAACCTCGATTACCTGAGAGACCGAAGCCAAGCAGAACTGCAACGAAGGCAGGCTGCCGACATTTGGCTACCGACGGTATTCCTACCATTAGTTTAGAACATAACATAATAATTATTTAAAATCAATAAAATATTAAACACATTTATATAGCGTATAATTCTATATAGAGCGTTGAATTCTCACACTTCACATGGGTCCGAATTTGTCAGATGGTTGAGAACGCGTGCTTACTAAACAGTGTTTAGTAGTGTGACGACATGAGACGTAAATCTCACTGAATGATTTTATCTTCGAAACAAGTATAGCGTCTCTGAAAATTCTCTTTGTTCATTCACTTACGATTTTGAATTGTCTGATTTACTAAACGAATTTTTAGTAAATCAGACAATAATCACGTTTAGTGAATCTTACCACAGGAATAATTGTATTTACTACATTATCGTTTTCTGAAA